TAAACTCACTCTTAACAGATACAATGCGCTCTATCTGGGGGATGGTTACAATGGTAAGATTGACTCAAACCTACAGAAGTAATGCATGTAACCAAAACATTTGTGCCCTCATAACATTCTGGAAGAATAAATAAATAAATACAAACAAATGAAGCATGGGCAAATGGGAACTTACAGCCAAAGAGCGGGGTGGGAGGTCAGCGGATGGAAAGTTACTCAGAGGAAACGTCAGGGGAAAGTCTGGCTGAACCAACCCAACAAGATTCTTGCTAAAGGCAAGCCAGGGCGACCGGACAGCACCCAGAGTGGTGGTGAAGGAGGAAGAACCCAATTAGACAATAGCCGGTGGTCAAATATCAAGAGCGGAGGGTTCTTGCTCAACTAACTCAGCAGGGTTCTTGCTAAAAATGGACTTTTCAAGGAAATGCACAGATGGGCCTGGGAGAAGGTTCGGGAACCTGTCTAAAGTTTGGTCAAACAAAGAATCTTTGTCATTACAACATGGAAATTATTGTATATAATGTGTGGGGCAAATACACACTGCTCAAACATTTGTCCCCAACTTGGGAATTATAGTTCCATCAAGAAAATGTTAGAGGAGACACACTCGGATGAAGCAGAATTAGTTGTTCTTAATCAGCCTGGGGAAAGACACTCCACATAGGGAACGGCGTATGCTGGCCCTGACCCTAAGCCACCCTAAGATCAGTCTTGTCGTCCCCATTGCACCCCAGCCCCAATGAAGCGTTGGGGTGCAAAGGGACTGGCTGAGGAGGTGGAGGTGGCCCAGGTCCCGTATCACAGGGCCGCCACTGGAACCTGGCCTGATGCTTCCCCCGGCCCTCCCCCATCCTCCCAGGGAGCAACTGTTAGGAGGAGATAAAGATCTCACCAGAACAGAGGTAGAGGTTGACAGAGGTCCCAAAAGAGAAAGGTAATTAGAAATAAACCTTCTCCTTCTTGTGCAGCCCCAGTTAGAGCTGTGTTGCTGTTTACTTACTGTGCTTGATGACATGTTGACAGTGCCCACTGATGTTAATAAGCCTAATTACTACGTTGACTTCAACATCCCTGAGCACAGCTATTCAGTATTCAGAGCTGCCAAGTTCCTCTTCTCCCCATGATAACACCTACTTTTTCTCCCCTCAAATTAACATGTATTATTCAAGAAAGTCTGGTAAAGCACAGAAAATACAAATGCTGGGGCTGGCTGAGCGGACTCATTCTCCACTCAGGGCGAGCAGCGCAGGGAAGGTAGCCTGCCCCTCGCTCAGAGACCCTGCGGCCTGCTGCTGGGTCTCCCCGTAGGTCATGTCTCCTCTCCGGGGCCACACGTAAGGAGCTTCCTGAGTCCTAGCTTGAATTCCTAAGGATTCTTGTTGAGTTTCCCTAACTGGATTTTCAAAATGTCCCTTGGTTGTTTCCGTGGCAGATAGTTCAGGAACACATTGTTTTTAGAATTAAGCCACCTGTTCCTCCTGGCTTTGCCCTGCTGCAGAACCCCAGTGGAGGTGGTCTGAGTGTGTGCCCCTGGGGGGCAGTGGCAGAAAGACTAGCCAGGAATCCGCGGGAGCATGAGGTCAGCCTTAGGCACCTTGGGTCTCTGGCACCAAATGAGGCTGCAGTGAGAGGCGTGCAGGGGGAAAGCAGCCTGGGCCTATGTGGGAAAGGCAGCCCCAGCTTTGCGGATTTCGCCATCCCACCAGGAGCTCACAGGAGTCAGGGCTTCTGTTACAGAGCCAGACTTGGGAAGGAGTACCAAAGTAAGGTGTGGAGATCACCAGAATGCCCCCTCTCCACCTCCAATAGAAACACAAAATCAGGCAAGTTAGACCAGCCCAGGGCCAACCTGGTGTGTTTTCAGGGCTCTCGGAGGGGCCAGCTTGAAAATGCTGGTGTCACCTGAAGCTGAGACAACAGACCACTGTAATTTCCCTGGGGGCCCAATTATTGTGGAAAGCCGCTTCCTCCCAGCTCTTCCCCCTGAAGCCGTACCTTCCCAGGAATAGTGAGGACAGGCCCAAGTTATAATTATCAGTTCCACAATTTAATTTGCACCCCTTCTCACTGGAAGCAGGAAGCTCTCTCCTGGCCCGAAAGCCACGAGGCTATGGCTGGCCTTTAGAAACAAAGACTGTCAGTGTCTCGGGGACGTTCTCTAGCTCACTGGCAGGGTGCTTCACCTCCTATGCTCTGACTACCAATTGTTAACCATATGCAATTCTAGAAATTGGCAATTTTTGACAAGCCTGGTAGAAGGCAGATGTATTTCTTAAAATTTCCAAGAGAAAGTAATGCTCCGAATAATTATCCGTCAGAATAAAATCTAAAATCCTTTCCACAGCCTGCAAGGTCCTTCCCTCAAGAGGTGGCTCCCCTCTCATCTGTTCTACAGCTGTGTTCTTCATACTCCTGCCCTCTAGGCCTGATCCCCTTATGGTTTGTCAAATATGCCAAATGCAGCCCTCCCACACTCACCCCAGGGCCTTTGCACCTCCTGCCAGGAGTGCTCTTCCCCACCTCTCTGCTTGCTCCTCCCCTGGCTTCATGCAAGACCCAGTCAAATACTGCTGTGTCAGACTGACCCTCACCAGCAAGCAGGAACACTCTTTCTTAAGCCAGCCATCAAAACAGACCCTTGTATTCCTAATCGTATTGGTACCCCCAGCCTGAATTTTAGCTAATTTGGTGAACTTTATTTGAAGTCTTATTGATGATGTATGCATCTTTTGAAGGGCAAGGGTAAATGCCATAAATGGTATTTCCAGTGCTCCAGAGTCCGGAGAACTGCAATTCACATTTCTCAGACTCTCTTGTGTGTAGGGTCCCCCGTGTGGCCTAGGATTAGAAAAACCCGATGCACATTGCTGGTAAGTATAGTTGAAGATGTACTTTGGGGGTTTTTATTTGTTTGTTTTACATCAGTATTAGTAGAAATTTCAGGGCTTAGTAATTTCTCTTGGGCATCAATTGACCAGGAATAGAGCACACTTTTTCCTAGTGGAGATCATAGCAAGTTCTGGGAGCCAGTAGACACATCAGATTATTATCACTATGGCTGTGCATTTCTTCAGGGTGTGGCTCTGGAGCCAGCGGGCTCCCAGCCATTGAAGAGTCAGGAGCTCCCTTGGTGGCCCAGTTCTGCAATGTGCCTTCGAACACATTTCTGAAAACTCAATGGGGTCTGTGTCTTCAGCACTTCTAATGATTCTATAAGCCATTTAACACCCGGTAATAAGTTCTTTCCTGTGTAAACCAGCTAGAGATTATTTTATTCTTAGAAACACAATCTTAGACATAAATACAATCCTCTAACCATGGATATCCAAGTTAGGTAGTAAGCTGACCATCTGCTGTCGTCAGGATGTGCCTGGAATACCTCCCCTACCTTCTTTTCAAAGTGAATTTCTATCTCCTTTAAGACCTAGCTCTCTCTTCTGTAACTGTGTCCCTCCTCTTCAGGGTTACTAATAACCCCCCCCCCCATTGCTCACCACATTTTGTCTGTACCTTTTTTTATTAGATTTTTACATTATATCACATTATATGTTCCTGATAGCATGTCATGCTGTTTTTTCCTGTCTTTTTTCTCCGCAAGCCCACAAAATCCTTAAGACTACAGAATATTACATTCATCCCTATACCCCTGTACCTAAGAGAAGATACGATACACTGCACATATTCAAAATGCTTGAGATAAATGAGTGTGTAAGGGAAAAGCTGACAAGTACATATACCTATTTTTAGGCATGTACATAATTGTGTGTATTGTCTAATCCTCCCAAATTATATCATAATTCATTAACTGAATTTTATTTTATTATTAAAATATTTTCCTTTTGTTTTCCTTTCCAAATGCCTTCCTTTTGATGTGCCTTCCAAAATTGAAAGCCATAGAGTTTGTTTCAAATGAGAACTTCTGGGAGACTGTATCCGAGGACCACATGCAGGCTGAAGACTTTGAGCAAAGTGTAAGTTGAAGAAAGACATTTCTCTAGATAGCAGAGAAAGCTGTTCTGAGACTGGCCAGGAACTGCCCCCTGATCTCTGGGATTCATAGCTTCAATCTGGGGGTTGCACAACCTGAGTAAAGTCCTCACAGAAACAGATATAATTGTGAGTGGGACACATTAAATCAAAAAGGAGTAGAAGAAAAGCACGTGTGGTATTCCAAGCCCCTACTCTTGGAGTTTCCTGCTTGTAATGTGAACAAATACCCCCCAGATTGCTTTTGAAGGCAGCAAAGTGAAAAATAAAACACATAATACTATCCAAGTATCAAGGCAAATCTTTCTTTGCAGAAATCCTGTGTAAAAATAAACTTCAGGAAAGATGGAGTCGATGTAATTTTTCTGATCCTTCCCACTAAATACAGCTTAAAATCCTAGACATCATATATAAAATGAACATGAGAAGGCTGTGAAATCTAGAGAGAGGAATGCAGGCCAGTCAGGGCCCTGAGACTCCAGGACCAACACGGCAGTACGTTCCCTGGGTTCTCTTTTTGCCTCATCTATTTCAGACTGGGTGGTAGAGAATACAGCAACCCAGAGACCCCAAGAAGCACAGACAAAAAGAAGTTCCAGGAAAGCCTGCTCTCTCTACGTGTGGGGCAACCTGGCAAAACAGAAGACTTTGAACTATAACTTCTGTGCGCCACGCAGACTCCACAACAGATAATGGCGGGGCATCTCCCCTAACTTTGCGGTTCTGACTCAAACCACCTTTCAGAGGGTCACAGAACCAGCCCTGTCAATTGGACGGGCCCCCTCTCTTCAGCTGTACCCAGTAACCAGAGATGCAACAGGAAGTCGTAATAGTTTAGTAAGCCTTATGTCCACCGGATGTTGTATTGTCTTTAAAACAAAATTTTTGTTATGATTTTATGAATAGGCCAGATGAATGCTTCACCTACTGAGGCAGGCTTAGGGCTCTAATTTCTCGTGTCAGCTTATCTCTAAGGCTTACAATTCATGTTGACTTAAGTGGAAGCATTACTATTTATCCTCTACTACTAAGATACGCTCTCAGAATTACAGGTACTAACTACGATCAGAAAAGTCTTGTGTCCTTGGAACTTCAAATTAAGCATATTATGGTTTGGTAAGCTTATGAAAGAAAAAGAAAAAAAGTAGATATTTCGTTTTTCAATGTTTTTCATTGAGAAATTTTCTGGTCTCTATTCATATTTAACCCTAAATTCCTTACTTTTCTAACGCTTGCTTCTACACACCACGGTATAAGAAGATTTACGTTTAGAATACTGAAATACGACATTGAAGAGAGAATAAAGATAGCAAACCCAGCCGTTTTCAAAAGATTTTCAACTAGAGTTGAAACCTAAAGAAACTGTTTGCATTAGATACAAATTATTCAGAAAGCTTTGAGGCTTCTGTCCATGGAGGTTTTGGTGGCACTGCGTTCACAGGTGACACACCCTCTGAGTAGCTATGAGAGGCCCAGAAAGGGCCTGGCACCTCTGAGGGCATTCCTTGGGACAGGCGGGTGGGTCAGGGGCACTCTCTTCACCAGCTCTGTTCCAGGGCTTTGCCACTAAAGGATTTTAATCAGGGGTATGACACAATCAGATTTTTAAAACTGTTTTTTTAGGTATTTTGATTCTAACTAGATTTTGAATTGTGAAGCTTCCGTATGTACCTGAGCTTTAAATACTGAAATAGTAGTGAAGTCTATAAAATCAATGTTTCAAGTCTCTACCGCCTTACTTCCCAGAAAGAACTACTGCATACTGCTTTTTATGTCTCTTTCTGGACATTTTAATGCATATATGAGCATACCCATCCTTAAAAACACATGCATATCCACAAATGGAATCATAACATACATTCTGTTCTATAGCTGGCTTTTCCCTTAATAAGATATTTTGAAAATCTTTGGTATTTCATTATATCCTGTACCATAATTTAACTAGCATCTTATCTGGGGATGTTTACGTTGATCCCAGTTTTGTTTTTGTATTTTGATGTGTGTGTGTATATATGTGTATGTGTTTGTATGTATGTGTATATATATGTATATAGTTGTTTATTTTAAATTGCACACAAACTTTATGTCCACCCTGTATAGCAATTAATTGTGCATATATTGTCACATACAAATGCTAGAGTATATAAAAAATAAATTCCTAGCAGTTGAATGCTGGGTTCGATGGTATCTGCATCTTTAATTCAAAAGGCATAGATAAATTTCTCCCCAAGTAGTGTGTGCCATTTTCCCATTCCCACCGAGACAGCCTGAGAATGTCTGCTCATCACATCCTTACCCACCAGGGATCATAATTCTGGCCCACCTGAGAAGGTGAAAATAACAAGACCTCATTGTCATCGTCTTCCCTCCGCACCTGTCTCTCTGTCCAACTGTCCCCTTTTCATAAGAACTCCAGTCTTATTAGATTGGTGCCCACCCTGATGGCCTTATTTTAACTGGATTATCTGCAAACACAGTCACAGTCTAAGGTACTAGGAATTAGAACTTTGAATGATGGGGCTCAGCACCCATAGCACATTGGGTACGGCGCCAGCCACATACACCCAGGCTGGGGGGTTCAAACCCAGCCCAGGCCAGCTAAACAACAATGACAACTGCAACAAAAAAACCACCCAGGTGTTGTGGCGGGCACCTGTAGTCCCAGCTACTTGGGAGGCTGAGGCAAGAGAATCACTTAAGCTCATGTGCTGAGGTTGCTGTGAGCTGTGACATCACGGCACTCTACCAAGGGCGATAAAGCAAGAGTCTGTCTCTAAAAAACAAAACAAAACAAAAACATATGAATAATTGGGAGGGGACATGATTCAAACCATAATGGGCATGTAACCATAAATTCTTAGCATGTAGTCAAATCCTTGGGACAGGAGGGGTTCCTAGGGCATTTCTGTCTGACTACTGCATGTAAGCAATACCCCTTTTCCCCAACCAACGTAAATCATGCCAGCGTTAGCTGGTTTTACATATGAGCCCAGAGGTTTTGGTTTACACTTAGTGAAGAAAGGGTTTGGAAGGGAAATCCAGGAAAAAACGGTGGGAGGGGATGAAATTGTGTCCTGTTTCTTATCTAAATGCCATAGATGGGCCTAGAACCCCCTGCAGTTAGGGTGTGAGGACCAGCAGCTGGGAGAACTAGTCACAGTGAACACTGGAGACTCTGGACACAAGGCATGCTGCTCCAGGGCCCAGGGTACCACACAGTGTTGGGGGTTCTGTCCCATTGTCTGTACCCCTCTGTCCCCCAAGGGGGTAGGCATTCAGGACAGTGAGGCACCACCTGCAGCACAGATGCTGCACTGTCATGATTGGCAGTGACACGGCCAGGGAAGCTGACCTTCTCCAGGGAGCATGGTTGGTGGCAGAGGTAGAGGAGCAGGCCAGCACCGCAGCAGGAGGGTGGTGTGAATGCCACAAGGAAACCTCAGCTGTAAGACTTGCTTATGTGAACTTCTGAGGCCCCTTCCGAGGGAATATCAGAAAACACTGTGGGGTAGGTGATATCTTAGGGTGGTTTTGATTTGCATTTCTCTGATAATTAGTGACGATGATCATTTTTTCTCATTTGTTAGCCATTCATCTGTCTTCTTTAGAGAAGGTTCTATTCATCTCACTTGCCCATTGATATAAGGGATTGTTGGCTCTTTTTATGTTGCTTAATTTGAGTTCTCTGTAGATCCAAGTTATCAAGCTTTTGTCCAATTGGTAATATGCAAATATCTCTTCCCATTCTGATGGTTGTCTCTTTACTTTGGTTGTTGTCTCGTTAGCTGTTCAGAGGCTATTCAGTTTAATTAAGTCCCATTTGGGGTTTTTTGTTGTTGTTGCAATTGCCACTGGAGTCTTCACAAAGTTTTTCTCCAGGCTGATACCTTCAAGTGTTTTTCCCTCACTTTCTTCAAGGATTGTTATTGTTTTATGCCTTAGATTTAGATCTTTTATCCATCTAGAATCAATTTTAGTGAGTGGAGAAAAATGTGGATTTAGTGAGAATGGCCCACATCACAAAGTCTAAAAGCTGCAGATGCTGGTGTGGATGTGGAAAGGAGGGAACACTTTTACACTACTGGTGGGACTGCAAACTAATATAACCTTTTTGGAAGGAAGTATGGAGAATCCTCAAAGAACTCAAACTAGATCTCCCATTTGGTCCTGCAATCCCATTACTGGGCATCTACCCAGAAGGAAAAAAAATCATTTTATCATAAGGACATGTGCACTAGACTGTTTATTGCAGCTCAATTTACAATTGCCAAATTGTGGAAACAACCTAAATACCCACCAATCCAGGAATGGATTAACAAGCTATGGTCTATGTAAACCATGGAGTACTATTCAGCCACTAAAAAAGATGGAGACTGTACATCTTTTGTATTAACCTGGATGGAGTTGAAACACATTCTTCCTAGTAAGCATCACAAGAATCCAGTGTAGTCAATTCTGATATGAGGACAATTGATGCTAATACATGGTGTGGGGTGGGGTAATGGGGAGGCGGAGAAAGGGAAGGAGGGAGGAGCATGGGAAGTCATGGTGTATGACACACCTCTTGGGGGCGGGACACAATTATAAGAGGAACTTTACCTAACAAATGCAAGCAGTGTAACCTGGTTCTCTGTACCCTCATTATTCTCCAACAATTAAAAAAAAAAAAAAAGGAAAGAAAAGAAACCACTGGGGTGCTGGGCACAGTGGCTCACGCCTGTAATCTTAGCACTCTGGGCACCTGAGGCAGATAGATTGCTTAGCTCAGGAATTCAGGGTCAGCCTGAGCCAGAGCAAGAACCTGTCTTTAAAAATAGTGGGGCTTTGTGGCAGGTGCCTATAGTCCTAGCTACTCAGGAGGCTGAGACAAGAGGATCACTTGAGCCCAAGAATTTGAGGTTGCTGTGAGCTATGATGCCACACCACTCTACCGAGGATGACAAAGTGAGACTCTGTCTCAATTTTAAAAAAAAGAAAGAACAAAAAGAAACCACTGGGGTATAAATAGGGAGGGGAGCTCTGATTTGGATGGGGGTTATCAGCCTATACTGTGGTTATTCTGCCAACTTGACTCCTTTTTGCTATTTTTAGTTCACTATCACATGCTCATTTTCATTTCTGCGACACACTGATGCATCACAAACCTTGCTATGCAGATTCTTTTGGTTGCAAGAACTAGAGATTTACCAAGAGAGGTTCCTGGACATGGGAGGCCTCAGTACAGAGGTGTGTGATTCACCTCACCTGATGAGGATAGTTCTACCCTAAGGCTGGGCAAGCGGATGGGACGATCCTCTAGGACGTCGCATGTGCTGCTTACTAGAGAGGGATAACAGAGTTTACATGGGATTAAAACCTCAACTAGAACCAGCCAGTTGGGGCCACTCTCCAAAAGACTGCAATAGACTCTGTTGTTTTTGTTTGTTTGTTTGTTTTTACTTTGGTGAACAGAACTTGAAATGCAAATGGGATGGTGACAGAGCACTGGCCTAGCCAAATATTTAACAGAAAGTGACTCTACCCCAAAAGAGGGCTTGTCAACCATGAGGGATTTAGAGGCAGGAATATGAGCAGCCAGGCCCTCAACCTGCTCAACGTCCTGCCCTGAAACAACAATTTGAGTAATGGGGAGCAAAGGGGTGTAAAGCCTGGAAATTATGCAAGCCAGGCATAAAGCACTCCAGCTTTACCCCAGCCTAGAAACACCAGCCAGCCACAGGCCATATTCATGCGCCTGTCCCAGGTTTCATGCCACTCTGGATGTGCTGATCTTGTACTATGAGAGGCTAAGTAGTTCATAGGATTCTGGCCATTGTCACACATTGAACAACAATATTAAAAACCTAACCTTTGTAGGTGAGCAGGAAATAGGCCACATGACAGATCCCTGGCTTTCCTCTGTAGAAAACCAGTCTTTACCTTCTACCAAAAAGGATCCAAAGGAATTTGGAAACTTCTGTGAGGCCCCACCTATGGGTCTCTCTTGGTAAGCAGCACAGTATCAGGAAAGAATGACCAAATTTACCAAACAAAAAGGCAACTTGTAACGTCATGGCTTTAGAAGCATCTTTAAACGTGGAACTGTGCAATCCATGCTAGGAGCCACACTGCTTTCCTGAACTCAACCTTCACGTTGAGTACACAGACCGCCCCTGGGAGCTCAGCCATTCGCGGAATGCAGAAGACCTCATACGCTCTCAAAGCATGGAAGAGTCTCTATGTCCCATAGCCATTTGGAAAAAGAAGATAATTTATTTTTTCCAAAGATTTCTTGGCATACTGATGTTTAAAAAAAAAAAATGCTTGAAGGAACTAAGCAGCCAGAATAGGATATGATAATAACAGAAATGCTTGCTAACCACTCTACTGTTCCCCAACACTGCAGTTTTTGAATAACACGTTGAAATGTCACCTGGTAACTTTGGTAATCAGAAAAATGATTAATTAATGAATCATTAACTCCTATATATATATATATATATATTTCCTTTTTTCCTTTGGTCCTTTTGCAGTTTCTCAACACCTCCTATCAGTCAATTTTTAAGACAATAGTCAAAGAAATGACTGCTCTCAACGAAGTGGATGGGGACGTTGACATTCCCCTGAGTAACCTAATGGAAAGTGGAAACAGAAGGAAACTGGCAACGCTGTAAGTAACTGGAGAGATCAAGCCGCTGATCAGTGGTGGCAGCAGGAAAGTGTGAATTGGGCCACCCAGGAAAGAGCAAAGGCAGGCCTAGGCATTTCCCCCAAATCAAGGAACAGGCACAGGCCAGGCACAGGGTGAGCACAAGATCCAGGTGAGCAGAGTAATCCAGCTGCCAGACCAAGATCAAAACTCAAGAGCAAGGAAATAGCAAATCTGGGAAGCACAGGATAGGGTCAAGGCAGGCAGCAGCAGAACTTGGAGATCTAGGCAAAAAAAGGGTTGGAGGGCCCATGAACATGTACAGAGTGTAAGGAGCAAGTCTCAGACCCCGGGCCTTTGAGGGGATCAATGGATGTCAAGATTCTGAATCTTTGCCCAGTAAATTCCCAACTTCGAGTGAGGCTGGCTCTTGCTCTTCCATGCTCTCTGAGGGAGGAAGAGCCTGGAGCCTCACTGCCCTGGGGGTCATGGCCCCAGGAAGTAGGTATCCTTTGCTGGACAGGGCCATTGCTCTCTGCTAGCTGAAATAGTGCAGCCCTTTCCAGCAAAGGATGTCCATTTCCTGGTTTACAAGAGGTTAAATTATTATGTTCGCTCCATGGAATCTAATCTAAGAACTTAAATTCTGTCATGTCAAAGGCCTCCTTCTCTGATCCAATTAAGCCTGGGAAGCTCACTCTTTTTGGCATTTTCTCTTTCAAAAAGGATCGGGTCTGAAAACCAGAAAACACAGCTGCCCTGTGTTATACCTTTATTTGGAAGTAAAATAGTCCATGCCATTGATATGTCAGGATAACTCACTTTGAATACTGACATGAGAGGGAAGAAAGGGCTTGATCATTTTGAAAGGCTAGGCCTTGGGCAACTTTCATAAGTCATTTTGAGAGAGGCTATTTGAATATCTTCTACTATATGAGGGGTTTCAAGTGGCTCTGTCCAGTTCAAAAACAGTGCTATTTTTCCAAGCTATTTCCAGATGTAACCCTCCCTGGACATGGACAACACACAGGAAACCTAGTTTCTTAGGCTGACTCCCAGAGCCACCTTTGCATTTGGACGTTCTGAAGCCCTCAAGGTGACCATTGTTGAATTCATCTGGAAGGGTTTGGGGGTCAGCCATGTGCCCAGCTTGAAGGTCAGTTAGACAGCAGGAGTCAATGCCATGTGGCAACTTTTACTTTTGAGCATTGCCTGGAAGGAAAGAAATCTGGGTCAGAGGCAGAGCCATTGACTCAACTTTCTACCTGTGTCAAAGACCCAGCAGGTTCCGGCACCGTCCGCACTGTGTAACATGACATGTAGGTCTGAAATGAGTCTTGGCTTTTAAAGATGATTCATGTTCCTTTTAGGCTGAAGAAAAATTATGAAAAGTACAAGGAAGCATTACTATGGTTCATGAAGAAACGTGATGGTAAGCCCCACTCTGTCGTTTTCCAGCCCGACTGTCCTGTCCGCATCTCACTGCCTCTTACACTCTGAGTGTTCTATAGAGGAGGTAGAAGAGCTCATTCACTCACCTGAGTGCCTCCCGGCTGGTGCAATCCCAGCTGATGGGGAGGAAATACCGAACATGACAGACATAGCCTGGGATCTCAGTGGCTTATCCCTTGGTTGGGGGGAGAAGAGACAAGAAAGTAGGAAATGATCGTACAGGAGGGTCAGGCCCTGAGGAACGAAGGTGATGCCGTGGGCCACATGGTGAGGAGCTAACCTAGATTTGGGAGACTGGGGCAGGGAGCTCCAGGAAGGCAATAGTAATGCAAAACTGGGGACTGAAATAACCCCTTCGCCAGGAGACTAAAAGCGTTTGGTATCCAGCTGTTCAGATTTGCCAGTGATAAAGGTTGCCAGTTTTTTAGATCTAATTAAAAAAAAAAGTGTGGGTCAACGGCCCACGCTGTTAAGATACCTAATTCAAAAACTCAAAACCACTATACAGAATATCTTCCAGGTTACCAGATCCAACTTACGTAGAAATGACAGCAATACCCATAGGGAATACACCTAATCAATCATCGGGTTTTCCCACGCTGAGCCAGCTCACAGTGTCCGGTCCCTTCTCAACAGAGTGTTCCCATCTCCCAGTGCCTTTTCGTCCCCTAATCCAACTCCTCAGGAGTGGCTGCTGTGAGCCAGGTACTTTCACAATCACTCTCTGATGTAGAGGAATCTTTACGACCATGTGAAGCAGGATAAGCTAAGGTCAGAGTTGCTAAGTGGCTACCTAAGACCATCCAGCCATTAAATGGAAAAGGCACATTCATGCCCAAGACCCGCCGGGTCAAACCCAGAGCCCATCCCCTTAGCATGCACAGCAAACCACAAATGCCAGTATGTCTGCAGAAGAAAATGTGACAGGCCATCTAAGTCTAGGTCCCACGTCCTCTTCAGAGCAAGGGGGCAGGGAGAGAGAGGAATCACCATCTCCAGCTACTGAAGTGGGACCACCCTGCCTCCCACCAAGACTCACACAATTGGGGTCCCCCAAACAAGGAAAGGAGTTCAGATTTTCAGCAGCCGAAAACACAACAAATGTCTGTTACACTTAATGGGTCATACTTGTCAACTACTTACGTTTCCGTTCCCCCTTGCCATTACGCATCTTTCTTTTCTTGGGACCTTAACAAGGCACACAGTAGGTGCTCAGTATGTGTTTCTTGAATGGATGTATGCATAGTTTTTTGCTCTGTTTGGGGAATAAAGGCCTTTCAGGCATTTATGAAATTAATATAACACAGATGGCCTCAGACTCCCCTAATCCCCCATTCCTAGCCACGCTCTGCTTCTCTGGACAACTAAAGCCTAGAAGACACGAGCTTTTTTAGAAACACAATATTTCTCATTGGCACGAGGCAACCTCCTCACATTCCTGCCATGGCTGGTCCCAAAGATATCTCCCAGCCACCTCTAAGATGCAAAGTCACTTGGAGTATTCAGCCCATTTTTCTGTATTCCCGACCCACAGCCCCATGTCTCTGGACACTCAATTTCCAAACCAAGACCAGGTTCCCTCTTGTCCTGTGACCTCTGCTGTCACACAGGGCTCCCCACATGCAGAAGGGCCCTGCACTTGGTTTAAAGCTCAGCTGTTTTGAAATACTTAATGATTTAAAAACAAGGATCCCTACGTGTTCACCCTGTATTGGGATCCTCATATGATGTAGCCTTTCCACCATTTAGGCTGGTGACTAGAGGGAGGAGAACATGGTGTTGCTTGTATGATAAACCATCAAAATGCAAAGCTTTGGCTCAGGGCCTGTGGCTCAAGTGGCTAAGGTGCCAGCCATGTACACCCAAGGTGGCGGGTTCGAATCCAGCCCAGGCCCGCCAAACAACAATGACGACTGCCACCAAAAAATAGCCAGGCGTTGTGGCGGACGCCTGTGGTCCCAGCTACTTGGGAGGCTGAGGCAGGAGACTCGCTTGAGCCCAGGAGTGGGAGGTTGCTGTGAGCTGAGATGCCACAGCACTCTACCCAGGAGGACAGCTTGAGGCTCCTGTCTCAAAAAAAAAAAAAAAGCAAAGCTTTTCTTGTTGAGAAGGACACAGATACATTGACCTTCTATTGGGTGGCAGGCACGATGCATGCATGATTTCATAGTGACTTCACATGTATGTAGGCAGCATTTTAAGGCAACCGAGGCTCAGATACCATCATCTCTACTTTGGAATTCCTTTTTTTTTTTTTTTTTGAGACAGAGTCTCACTTTGTCACCCTGCCTAGAGTGCCTGGCATCATAGCTCACAGAAATCTCAAACTCTTGGGCTCCAATGATTCTCTTGCCTCAGCCTCCCAAGTAGCTGTGACTATAGGCACCCGCCACAACACCAGGCTATTTTTAGAGATGAGGTCTTGTACTGGCTCAGGCTGGTCTCGAATCTGTGAGCTCAGGCGATCTACGCCTCAGCCTCCCAGAGTGCTAGGATTACAAACGTAAGCCACTGTACCCAGCCTCGGGGCTGTACTTAAATACTACTCAGAGATTCTTTCCTTGGCTACTCTTCATACTTGAGAGTAGTACACACACACCCCAACACACACATCACTCTCCATCCTTCCCACCCTGCTCCATTTCCCTTCAGAGCACATCATCACCACACTCATCACATGTTTATCTGTTCACTTGTTTCACATGTGTCTCCTCTGAGACAGCAGAGATTACAACATCCCTGATAGTTAGGACAGTTCTTAGCACACAGAGATGTGATTGATATTCAATGGGTGAGCAAATGAATGACTGACCTACTCTGCCTCTCCTGAATCGTGTGTCACCACTACCCCATTCCCACTCTAGCCTTCAACTATGCAGAGCTTATGTTAGGATGCCCACCTCACCCCACCCCCATGCCTATTAGAGACCTACCTTCCACCGGAAGTCTCAGCTTCAAAGCCTGGTGAAGTTCCCTCCTGTGAGCTCTCATGGTGGCCCATGGTGGCCCAGTATTGGGCAACCCAGAGCTCCCTCACCTGACCTGTCCCTTGCAAAGCTTCTCACTCCCACCAAGAACATTCTGGTGGATGCCACAGTTGGAAGCTCTTCTCCAGGCTTCAGTGTCTACAGATCCCACTGTTGTGACACAGGGAGCAGGGAGTGTCCTTCAATTGTCCTTACTAGTTTAGTTCTAAAACTCAATTTTCATAAAAATGGACAAAAGTGAATGTAAAAAGAAACTCATTGCTATGAAAACGAAGTTGAAGCCAGGCTTGGAGGCTCACACCTGTAATCCCAGCACTCAGAGAGGCCGATGCAAGAGGGTCCCTTGAGGTCAGGAGTTTGAGACCAGTCTGAGCAAGCAAGATCCTTGTCTCTACTAAAAACAGAAAAATTAGCCAGGTATTGTGACAGGTGCCTGTGATCCCAGCTAGTTCGAAGACTGAGAAGGAGGATTGCTTAAGCTTAGAAGTTTGAGGGTTGCTGTGAGCTGGCTGAGGCCACGGCACTCTAGTCCAGGCAGCAGAACAAGACTCTGTCTCAAAAACCAAAAACCAAAACCCAAAAAACCACGAAGTTGAATTTCTTTTAAAACCTCAATAAGAAAATAGCTTTTAAAGAATCTGCTTTGAATTAGCTGTGGAAACATATAACATATACAAAAGATGGGGGATGCATAGAAATCTTTTTTTCAAAATTCTATGATTCTGCACTTATACTATTTTACACTCCCAAAAGTCAAAATGATAAATAATAAATTATGGGTGTGATTTGAGCAAAAATGATAAAAGCCCCAGTCATCTGACCGGCACACCAAGGAAAGATCTTGGCCTGTATTTTAGATGGCACGTTCACATACAATTGTGCTTTACGTTACAATAACGTGTTTAAGGTAGGGGTTTGTTTTAATGACTCCCCACTTTAGGCTACTTTTTCATTTACCAGCCACACTGTTGTTGGCTGGGTGAGTGCTCAGCTCACCATGGTGCAGTTGGCACATTGCTGCGCGGCTCTGTCACACCCCCACATCTAGAAGACTAGGTGGTCTTCACTAATGCGTCAGACATTTAGCACTGGGATGGCAACATGAGGCTCTTGATCAACGTGTGTTGAGCGAACGAATGGCAAAAGCGAGTAAGCTAGAATTCCAGCCACTTCGAAAGTCTTGCTCTCCCAGCTACCTGCAGCCTCCCAGGAGCCCTCCAACTTCGTGGGGCACCTTGAGAGAAATGGATCTAAATTTCTTTTCTCTTTTCCACTGAAATTTTATTCAATCCGATTACTGGATTGAATGAGCACTAGGTGCCAAGGTGACCGACGTGAACATGGTTGTATATCGTTCCTTGATGCAAGCACCACCCTCGGAGGAGCTTGAGTTTGTGAAAAAAGTAAGAAAGAAACGTCCTCGTCAAAGGAAGAAAAAACTAGATACAACGTGGATGAGGATGAACACAAAAGTGAGTACAGCAGTGACTGGTGATTTGACTGTGCAGGGATTTTCTTTGGCTCAGGTGAGACACACACACCCCTACCCCATCAGGGAGCGAGAGCGGTCAGGACCAGTCTACAATGTGAACACAAGCAAGAAAAATGTATCCAGTGTACACACATAAGGGGTACACCTATTGGAGGGGGTTATTGGCTAATTGACAAGGATTTTTGCTAGGATTTACTTACCCCCTCAGGGTCTATATTCAGCAACCGGCTGGGGGGAGAAGTGGAATAAAGGATGTGCATATATATCATTCGTGTGTCTATCTTATAATACATAAGTCCCAGCTAGGCACAGGTGGCCAGCCCCCGTGTTGGGAGGTTGGAAGGGAGGTTCACTTGAGCTCAGGAGTTCGAGGCTACAGTACGCTATGATGGCGCCTGTGAACAGCAACTGTACTCCAGCCTGGGCAACATAGTGAGATCCCACTTCTAAAAAGAAAACAAAAAAATATATAGAGATTATAGGTCCATCTTCTTGTAAATTGGAATCCATGTCAAAAGTCAATCACATAGTGAATGGAT